CATTGGCAGTAGTTTGGTCCTTGTTGGGTCCATCCATTAGATTCGTTTGAGTTGTTCATTTTAATTTTTCTTCAATTTTCAATTTCAATAGTTTGTATGCTGTTGAGGTGGTTCCATTCAAGTTTTTAATTTCTTTGATTAATCTCTTCTTTTCTTCAATGTATGTTGGAGTTTTCGATTCAAATATTTGTTTCTTTTTTACTGTTTTGATTATTTTTTCTATTTCTTCAGAGTATATTATATGATTTTTGTTCTCAGAATCTTCTTCAATTAGTTTGTTAAGTTCCTTTACTGTTATACTATATAATCTTCTTAACTCTTTGCCGGGTTTATTGTCGTAGTCGCAATCGTGTGAGTTGTAATATCTCCAGCCTAAATTGCAATGATGTAATGCATCTTTGTAAAGTTGTTTTCTTAACCAATTTATAGTGTCAATTTTCTGGTGGTAATTTTTAGTCTTGTTTTGTTCTTCGAATGTTATTTCTTCCAAATATTTTATTATTCTTTTTTGTTCTTCTTTAAACGTTGGTTCTTTTGATTCTGTATTTCTTACTTTTGTTAATATTTCTTCTTTCTTTTCTTTGTTAATTAAGTTTTGGTCTTTTTCAAGTTTTTTAATTATTTCGTCAATAAATATTCCAAGTTTGCTTTTAGTTATTTCTGCTTTGATCATTAATAGTAACTTCTTTGTTGATTCACTAGGTATAGCCTTTCCAATTGTTCTGGGTAATATTTTTGTTTTATTTCTTGCAGTTTTTGGTTTATTCCCTTTTTGACGTCTTTAGTTTTTATTGGGGTTAGTTGGATTAATCTGAAGTTTGTTAAATTAAAGTCTGGTTTTAATTCTAATTCATTTTGCAATTGTTTTTGGATTAATTTGTCTATCCAATATCTGTGTTCAAAATCTTCTGGTTTTTGTTCTGCAAGAGCTATTGCTCCCAAGATAATTAAATATTTATCAAAGTTTTCTAGATCTCGTTTATTTTTTGATTTATTGAATTCTTTATAGAGCAAACTATTTTCAATTTCCTGCCGTTCTTCTGTATAGGATATAGTTGTTATTTCTGGTTTCTTAATGTAAATTATATTATAGTTTTTTGATTTTAGTTCTTGTTCAAGTTCCGAATGGTTTATCCATTTCTGGCAGTTAGTCATATAAGTCCTGATTGTTTAGTTTACTTCTTAATACTGTTAGGGTTAAACAGGTTATAGTATTTGGGTTGTTGATCCTAGATTGTATCCAAGATTCAATTTTTCTGATTTCAAGTTCTTCTAGAGTTATTATTCTAGGTACTGAATTCTTGAATTGTTCGATTCATTTCTTAATTATTCTTTGGTTCCTTTTTAATTCTTTGATTATGTGTCGGGTATTTACCATTTAGGGTCTGTTGTAGTTTTTCTGTTATGTTTTGGATGTCCTTTAGTCAGTTGTTCGGGGTGTTTTTATATAATTATTTCTTATCAGTAGTTTATTCCAGATCTGAATTTGTATTACTTGTTGATTGTATTTCATCAATGA